AAAAAAATAGCTAGGCATTGTGGCAGGCTCCCGTAGTGCCAGCTACTTGGGAGGCTGAGGCAAGAGACTCGCCTAAGCCCAAGAGTTTGAGGTTGCTGTGAGCTATGACGCCACAGCACTCTACCAGGGGTGACAAAGTAAGACTCTGTCTCAAAAAATAAAAAAATTAAAAAAACTAGCCAGGCATTATGGCAGGCACCTGTACTCCCAACTACTCAGAGGCTGAGCCAAGAGGATCGCGTGAGCCCAGGAGCTTGAAGTTGCTGTGAGCTGTGACGCCACAGAACTCTACTGAGGGTGACAAAGTGAGACTCTGTCTCAATAAATAAATAAACAAACATGAAGGGGAATAACAGAATTAATAAAATCATGGATATGACTTTTTTAGACCAAAGCCTAAGAAAACCATCTGGCCAGTGTTTTTCAACATTTTCCTTTTTTTATCTCACAGCACACTTGAATCTATAGTTAAACTTCCACAGCACACTTAAATTATGTTGATCAAAAATGAATAAATAAATAAATAAAGGACTATGCTTCTTACCATGTTTTGAACTTCTTTCAAAAATAATTTAATTGATGGCCTTTAAAAAATTTTGTGGCACACCTAAGATCCTCTCAGGGAACACCATCATGCCATGGCACACCAGTTGAAAATCACTGACCTAGGTGAGTTAACAGGGAACTTTACAATAAATGGGTCAGGCTGGCACCATGAACCCACCAATCAATCTTAGGCTTTGCTTTAAAACACTCCAGCATCCCAAGAAGAGAGCATTAACTGCCATCTGATGGGAGGCAGGAGGAAGGACTTGGCATTATCTGTGAAGTAATTTCTGCAAAAAAAAAAAAGGAAAGAAAAGAAAGAAAAATTAACCTGAAGCTAATCAAGGTTCTAGATCTCAAACAACCACTTTACAGGAAAACCAGTACAGAAGGGAAGCAGGCTGAACAACACTACAGGGGCACAAGAGGCCAAATCAGATCCTGGGAAACTCTACAGAAAAAAAGGTCTCATTTGCTCCACAAATAAATGGCATTTTCCAAAAGGGCATGGATGGTAGGCAGGCATGGTGGCTCATGCCTATAATCTTAGCACTCTGGGAGTCCAAGGCAGGAAGATCCCTTGACCCCAGGAGTTTGAAGTTGTTGTAAGCTAGGCTGATGCCACTATACTCAAGCTGGGACAACAGGAGTGAGACTCGGTATCCAAAAAAAGGCGGGGGTTGGGGCAGGGCTGGACCATTGTAGATTAAAAGAGATTTAAGAGGCAGACAAAAGATAGACCACTGAATAATCAATGGGAAAATAAGACTTTTTTAGACAACCCAGGGAGGTTAAAAATAGACTGCATAGTTGATGGTAGAAAGAAATTAGTGCTAATGTTAATGAATATGAGGTAGTATTGTGTTTACATTTTAAAAAATACAGGTAAGGGTCATCTGTGGTAGAGATACAAGGCAGATAAAAGAGAATGTCTTGGGTTTGCTTTAAAACACTCCAGCAGCAGGCCAGGCTCGGGGGGGGGGGGGGGGGGGGGGTGTCACGCCTGTAATCCCAGCACTCTGGGAGGCTGAGGCAGGTGGATTGCTTGGGCTCAGGAGTTTGAGACCGGCAAACAAAAGCAAGACTCACTTCTACAAATAGCTGTGGCTTGTGGCTGGTGCCTGCAATGCCAGCTACTCGGGAGGCTGAGGCGAGGGGATCGCTTGAGCCCAAGAACTTGAGGTTGTTGTGAGCTATGACGCCACTCTACCAAGGGTGAAAAAGTCTCGAGACTCTGCCTCCAAATAATTAATGAATTAATTTAATAAAACACTCCAGCAAAAGAAACAGCTGGAGAGAGGGGGGTAGGAAGAGAGGCAAAGAATAAGGGAGAGGGAGAGAGGCAGGGAGGGAGGAGAGGAGGGGTACAGGTGACTGAGAATGGCAGTGTTGGTAACTGTCCAAGCTGGGGAAGCAGTACATGGGGTCACATAATATTGTTCTCCACTTTAGTGTATTTGAAATTTTCCGTAATCAAATAAAGAACAGGAGGGTCCTTAGTACTTCTTCCCAAACAGAGCTGCAGGAAGCTATCACGGCCCCAAGAGAGAAAAGCTGTTGCAGGTGGCAGCTGGGCTGAAGAAATCTGTGCCCAGAGGCACCAGATGCTGCAGAAAGCTCTCCCCACCCCAACCCGCCCCATGCAGGGCACACTGATCTAGTAAGTACTAAGTTAGTACTTTTTTTTTTTTTTGCAGTTTTTGGGTGGGGC